CCACAAATGTCTTTATTTTTATTGTTTCTTTAACCTGAAATGCCTTTCTTCTTTTTTTTTAATTGCCAAAATTCTATGCATCATTAAAACAAATTCAGATGCTTTTTCCACAAAGATTCTAAAGGATTATCTACCTTTACCATAGCCTTTGGTGTATACCTGTTTTACAATAATTATTAGAGGGCAGTTTACAGGCTGCTTATGCTGCTGTTGGTCATAAAATCATTCCCCTAACCCTTCCCTCCCCCACCACTCAGAGCAGCTTGGTGCAAGTGATCACTTCTTATACTCATCTCTGTATCCATCTTAGATCCAGCAAAGTGTTTTTAAGTTAGTAGATGCTCAATATTTATTGAACTGAATTAGTATGCAGATAATGCTTTCTTACTTACATTTCTTCATTTTAGTACATAGGTTAATAATTATTAGGATATCAAAATGATTTATAAAAATTGGTAATCTCATGAAGCCAGCTACATTTGGCAGTCTTCATTTAATGTGACCCCACCCTTTAATTTGACTCAAAACATTTAAAAACTCGATTTTTTTAAGTCAAAGAAGAGAAAAAGCATGTGTAGTCAGTAATAGTTCTTAAAAAAATCTAGCTTTACATAGAGAAGTTCTACACTAAATCTCTGTAAACCCCTAATGTTTCCTTGAAATTCTGATTCCTTCTAGGGCGCTGTATCTGAGGATTAACAAGACTATTGTCCGAGATGCATGTGAGCGTAACTGCTTTAGCTGAGAAATGACCATGTTTCCTTTTAGTTCTCAGCAAGAGTAATTGAATGTAGAATATCTTACTAAACACTGGACTGTGACAGTGTGTTAACACTCTGACTATCTCCTAACAGCAGGGCAATTATTTGCTGAGTGGGATTTTTATAAATCCCCTGGCACTAGTATGTCCTGGTAATTATGATGAAGTGTGTTGGTCAATGTTGATTCAGCAGTCCCTACCCCAGCAAATATTTCATTCACAGGTCTCTGGCCCACTTTCACTCTTCCAGTTATTAGAGGTCTTACTACTTTTCTGTGCTTGCATGGTATCTTATCTTTTTTTAAGCATTTTTTAATTAAAATGTAGAGCCCAAACCTATTTGAGGTAGCCCTTCTTTTAGAACTGTTTATCTCTCACTGTATTCACAAAGTCTGAATCATGGGGCAAGAAAATATTTTTTAATTTTGTTCCTTTTAGTGGCAATCAGCGACTCCTGTTTGCTGTGTAATTGTAATTTACAAAAGTAAAACTTGAACTCTCCCATCTACCCTGTGTACTTAATAGTTCTTCATTCCTGGAATAAGCAGTTTCTTTGAAACCATGAGAAATTATTATTTCTTACCTGGTAAGGTATGAAATTGTAGCAGTAGTAATTGCACCTTGGGAATTATAGGTGTACACAATCCCGTTTCAAATCCTTTTTATTTTACAGAAACTTGTTTTAAAAGTAACGCTTAATTACAAAGAGGAGAGAAAAAAATTAGAGTATTACTTCCCCCGGGCAGTTACAAAATAAAGGTCAGTGTATGAGTAGAAAATGTCCATAAAAAACGTTCTTCGTGAAATAAAACAGTTAATGCTCCAAATATAGCAAGTACAACCATTGGTTTTCAATTCAATTGCATTTTGAAGTACTTTCCCATACAATACTTAAGTAAAAGAATAAAAACCGAGAAGAAAAGAGCCAACTGACAGACTGTTAGAAATACAGAATGGTTCAAAATATTAATGTAATGCTAAGGGTGACTGGGTAACAAATGGTACATTTGCTCGTTGCTCAACCCGACATAATTAATATTCCAGGTCATGCTTAAGTTCCCATGGTGGAGGGCCTGAATGGGGAAATTCAAGAAAAATACATATCTATTATATAACTCATTGCCTTTTTTTCCCCCCTTTTGACGAGTCAGAATCATAGCCTTTAAAAAAAATCAGTACTTTCACACCTCATTTGCCGTATTCACCACTGGGCCACCAGTCAGCAGCAGGGTCTGATGCAAGGAGGTCAGTGAGAAGCTATTAGCAGAGTCCTCTCCTGAGATTTCTTGGGTCTTATTGAGTTGAATGTTAGCATGACAGTACTGCAAATAACTCAGTTGTAGGCTTTTTTTTTTTTAAACAGTTAGCACAGATTTCCCCATAGTGTTGGTCACTCTAGAAAATTATTACTGAAAATGAAGTCCCAAAAGCTAGCTTGGCAGTAGCCCTTCTAAGTTGTGAAAAATGGGAAAACTGAAAAATATGTCATAGTCCCTTAGAATTAACTTTGCCTTTTGTGACTCATAGTATTAATTTTTATTAAATATTTTATTAAATAAAAATATTTTAAAATCAAAAAACCATTATTCACAAGTGGCTAACAAATAATGAACTATAACAATTGAGCCAATAGTTAGTTAAGGTTATTTTATTTACTTAAAGAAATAATTAAATGAATACTGTGTCAATATAAATAAATAGGGTATTTGCTTGCTGTAGGGATTGGGGAGACTGGACTGTTTTCATGATGTGAGTTAGCAAATGTATTAAATTAATTTCTAAAATACACCTTGAAGATTTTAAATGGTACATTTTAAATTCAATTAAAATATATTTTCTATCTATATTTGATTTAAATTGCAAAGAGAATACACATGAGGAGGTTTCCATATAGGTTGCAAAATATAATTTAAGAAAGCTATCATGTCTACCGATCTATTTGCATTTCCCATCTAGCCTATGTATACATGTGCATGCAAATACGGAAGGAGATCAAAGACGATTTCTAATGGGGGTAAATTTAATGGCTGGTAGCAGTTATTCAGGTAGATAGATATTTTTAAATTATAAGGTATAATTTCATTAAATTTTATTTTACTATTTTAATCTGTAAGGTTGTAGAAATGAAAAACTAAGATTTCAGTTAATGATGCCATCACTAGACAGAATACTCATATATCTCTTTCATAGACTATGTAGATTTAGTTATATTTTATGTCAGAATACTCTTTTTAATATAATATTCACTGTTTTTTCTCATTATAATTGATACATTCTCATTGTAGAAAATCCCCATAAAAATCATCTTAAAAATTATTGCCCACTTAAAAATTACTATTTACTGGAAATTATTTTGAATATATGTGTGTATATATTTTCTTACATTAGCATTAATTAAACTATCTGTTTATATGTCCACCTTGTTCTGTATTTATTGTTATAATGAAAGAGTGTTAACATGACATTTAAAATCTTTCAACAATTGCCTGTAACATTCTCAACACTTTTTTCTTGTATAAATTGCATAGGAAAAAAATCTCACAGAAATGCCAGTTCAAAAATACTTTCAAAATATGTAAATATACACTGACTTTACTTTATCTAATAATATTCAGTCCTCAATTATAACATAGGAAAATTTAAGTTGAAGGTGACTCAAGTTGGTCTGTGATAATTTAATTCTAATAAATTGTGTTCAAAAGCAAATTGAAAGTCACATACTTAGAAAGATAAAAAAGGTAAATCTATAATTTTCTGAAAGAAGTTATTAAGATTTTGAAATAAACCTCAAAATTTTTATTAAGATATTTATGTGGCTTTGGAAAACAAGAGTAAAATACAGATTTAATGGGACTTCCTGAATGATACATTGTTATTCTAGATAAGCATTTAACATTCATTTTTTTCAGTGTCTCCTATGTGCCAAGTACTCTGCTAGGCCCTGGAGATGCAAAAAATACTTAAACAAAGTCCTTGTGTTCCAGCTGTTTGCTTGGGGAAGACTGACACACACAAAGATAGTTAGGAAGCAGTGTGGTAAGTATTGTGGTAAAGTTATCCCCAGGCTATTAAGGGAGCATTAGTGATAATAAACTGAATGTAGCCTGAGTTGGTATCCAGATGGAAGTTAGCATTTATTGAAGTGTTAGGCTAGAAATATAAAATTTTCTAGGATAATTTTTCAAGGACAACAATCAGAGTTAATCATAATGCCATGGACCTGCTGATTCCATGATGTAAATATAGTAAGCAGGAATACTTATGGATATGATGGTAACAGAAGGGAAAAGCACATTTTTAGGAAAAATAGATGGGCTTAATGCGTATTCTTTATGTTAGTCTAGAGTGTCCATAGAGCAACCAAACGAGTCCTACTATCTTTTGAAATGTAATTTATTCCTTATGAATATGCATTTGTGTATATGAAAGGAGTATTAAAGTACTGTTCTTTGCAGTTTGTGTCCTCAAACACTGTTGAATTTTCAGAAAATTGACATCTGCTAAACTTGAATTTAATATTTGCCATACATACATCTGTTGACCCTCTATTGCATAGCAGGCACTGTGCTTCGTCGACTCTTTTGCTACAGTGTGTGACAAGGTCAATGGTAGAACAGCAAAGGTAATGTGACAGTACATAAGTATAGCACATAAATACAACTCAGTAATACAGTAAGTTGTTTTGAATGATACATAATATATATGCACATATATGCTTTCTAAAATTATAGTTTGCAACCTATACAGAGACCTCATGTGTATTCTCTTTTCAATTTAAATCAGATATAGGTAGAAATGTATTTTAATTGAATTTAGTATGTATCATTTTGTGTGAGTAAATGTATGACTTATAGATATGGTTAAAATATGCATACATATATATATATAGGTAGTGGTTAGAAAGCAAAATAAATGACATAAGGTCTTCCTGTTATTCTTGTCTTAAGTACACATATATAAAAATGCCATGTGTGGCAGATTGAAGCTATAGCTCACTAGTTTTTAACATGTTTAGCCTTCCACCATGAATAATTTTGAAATTGTTGGTCTGGAGTGGAGACGAAGTCCAAGCATTTTGTAATCTCCTTAGATGAACCTGAAATCTTCCTCCAGTTAAGAACATGAGTGGTAGTTTAAAATAGTATTAAAACATATAAAAAAAAGTATGGTAAAGTTTTACCTTCCCTTTATTTCATGTGAAAATCAAAGATAAAAATCAAAATGATGTTTTTTTCTTTAGATTCCAGGTGTGTATAATTCACCATTCAGAAAAGATCCCGATCCGCGGGAGCTGCAATTACAGAAGGCAAAGCCTTCAACACACCAAAGACCTAAAGTTAAGCAGAAGCCTGCGGTCAGCCCGAGTAGCTGGCTCGCTTGTACGAGTGCGCGTTCCTTTCCTCGGTGTCAAATTCTGCCACCCATTGATAGGAAACAATGTCAGGTACTCATTAGTCCTAATACGAATTTTTCCAGTGATTCTGCTCTTACTGCTTTTTCAAAAAAGTTACTGTTTTGTTTTGTCTTTGTAACAAGAAGGGAAAATTATTTTTTACAGGATTCTATTTTAAATAGTAAGTATAATGTACGCTTAAACTATACCAAGGAAATACTTTTTTGGTACTACATTTAATTGTTTGAATATGAAGTTAACTAGAAATTTTGGCTATGATCTAGCCTTTTCATGTAAAAACATTGTCATAACAGTACTTGTTAGAAAATTATTATGCTAGAAAAATATTACGTAGAATATTTTAATTTATTTAATTAACCTCTCATCTGATGATCTGTATCTTATATACAATTGTAAACATAATTTAGATTTGAATAACATAAAAAGTAAAAGTTGGAGAATTAGGGCCCAAAACAATGCAATACTCAAGCAGAGACAAAACATCTTCACAATGGCTTGGAATAGAGCATGACGGGCAGATGACTTCTCAGGGCTAAAGGGCAGAGTGGGGACTGTTGGGTGGTAATTGTCACTCTCCTCAAAGTCCCAGCGAGCAACAGTTTTGTCATTCCCTTCAATATTTAAACTGGAGAAGATAACTGCCACCAGGTAGCATCAAGCTAGAATTGGGTTGATTTTGGTTCACACAGCCAGGCACCCAGAACTCCTACCACTTGGTTTCTGCTCAGGCTTGCCTCTGTATATCTTTTGTTGCATAATATATTATGAGTTAGTCCAAAACCTGATGACTTAAACCAACACCCATTTCTTATCTCACAGTTTCTGTGCATCAGCGTTGCAGGTACCACTTGGGTGAGTGCCTTAGACTCAAGACCTCTCATTCAAGATGTCAGCTAAGGCTGTGCTTTCATATGAATGCTCAGGTGTTGGGGGGAAGAAGAGGGGAAATCCTCTTCTAAGGATCTCATGTGGTTGTTTTTGCTCATGTTGGAGTCCCTCCTCACGTCAGCCTCACAACAGTGCTATCCCAGACATGGCAGCTGGCTTCCATCACGGAGAGTGATCTAGGAGAGTGAGAAAGAGCTGTTAAAATAGAAGCTACAGCCTTTTTATGACCTAATGCCATGAGTGACATTTCATTACTTCTGCCACATTGTTTATTATAAGTGAATAAGGCCAGTGCACACAAGGGCATGAACACCAGAAAGTGGGGATCACTGGGAGCCACCTTTGAGACTGCCTTTCACACCCCCAGCCATTTATTCAACCTTGTAATAGAACAACCTGCATTCTGTGCCATAATATAATTTCCCATATTGCTGTAATTATTTGTGATATGTTGTGTTTCTGCTCTCTGTAATTGGGTCCTTAATTCCCTTTATTTGTGTATGCTTTTGCTTTCCCAAAACCACTAATAATTAACACTATTTACTGTTATACATTATAGAAAGAGCTGTAAAAAATAACTTAAAATCTATAAAGCTAATTTTCCCCCGGACCACTTTCTCTTTTTCCTTATCCCTGATTCATTTCATAAGAAAATCTACCTATATTAATATTCTTAATTACCTTTAAATGAATCTGTTTATCCAAAAAGACATAGAAGCTGAAAAGTCTTCCTCTTTCCGAAGTAGAGAGGCAAGCAGGGTGTATCTGAGCAAGGGGGCAAAAGAGAGATACTGAGAAAAACTTCAGTATATTTTGGGACGATCCTCAGCATGTGCTTTCATTGTTCTTTTCGAACTATGAGTTATTCCAACATTCAAATGAAGGCATTTAAAATCATTTTAAATGTACGTGTAAAATGGATTTTATAAGTAACTGAATTTTTACCATTTGCATTCTGCACATAAGTATTTCTGTTAATACAAGTAATGGTTTTATATGATACCATCAGCATGAGCAATTCAATTTATTAGTTATTCTATAAAGAAAATAATTCTAGTATCTCCACTGCATATGTATTAAGTGTCCAGTGTTCATGAAGATATCAGATATAACACTGTATATTTGAATATGTAATAATCCGTATTTCATACTATACTCATTGAAATCGCTATTGGTACTTCACGGAACTCATAGAGTAATTCTGCATGCAACATCTTAGGAAATGTGAAAATGGTATGACATTAGTAAGATATGAGTATACAAATGTTCCTGAGTTGGAGACTCTCTAGAGGTCATTCAAACCAAACTGCCACACAGTCTAGTATTCCCAGTGTTAACTGTGACACATTTAATATTATTTTATATGAGTTTTATAATATTGGTATTTTACATTAGCTTAACTGCTTTGACTTTTTATGTTTTTATAATATCCCTTATTTTATACAAAGCTGTATTCACTCTTCATGTCTATTAATGCACTTTTCTCAATGTAACCGCTTTTATTATTTCACATGGCTACTTCCCCCCATACCATTCTATTTATACATATACATAAACATATGTACTTAATATATAGGAATGCATATAGAAGATATATACATGTATAAGGTATATGTAGACAACGTAAACATATATAAATATAAAAATATAAATGGTGATATATAGCCATATGAAAGATACATGCATATATATTTATGTAATATGTATGGAAGATATATTTGTATATATGGTTGAGGTGTTTTCTAGCACCAACAACCAGTTCTCTGATTCTCTGAATACTAACTGTGTGTCCAACAATTCAAGCCAGTTTGGACACTGCCAGAGTTAGAGCAGATTTCACAGCTTAAGGGCTCAGTCCCACAAGCCTACCTCCCACTCCACATACCAGGAGCAATTCCTGAGCCTTCTGTACTTCTTACTGAGCAGCTACAAATTGAACGTTCCCACAGTCCCATCCTAGGATTTGATAATTTTATAGGATGACTCACAGAACTCAGGAAGACATTTGATTTACATTTACTGCTTTGTTATAAAGGGTACAAATGGACAGCCAGATGAATAGGTACATAGAGAGTCCAGAAGGGTCCAGAGTGCAGAAGCTTCTGACTCCATCTACTTGGGGTGCACACCCTACCAGCACAGAGATGTGTATGCCAGTTCAGAAGCTTAGCAAATCTTCCTGTGCAGGAGTTTTTATAAGGCCATATCTCCAACTCCATTACCCTCCCTGGAGATCAGAGGTGGGGCTGAAAATTCCAACCTTCTAATCACTGGGTCACCCTGGGGCTATCGAGGGGCCTCTAAATTACCTCGTTAGCATAATCTAAGATTTAATCTTGTACACTCATCATTCAGGAAATTCCAAAGGTTTTAGGAGCTCTGTTCCAGGAACCAGGGACAAAAACTGTTTATTGTTATACTACAACGGTGTATATATATATATGAAAAAACATGGACATTATATGTACATTTATATAAAGATATTTATGTGTGTGTATATATATGTACATTTATATAAAGATTTATGTGTATATATATATATGGAAGATATTCTATGTATGTGTATACACATATACATATACACATTCATATATGCACACACGCATACATATTCATACACACACACATAAATTAAATTCATCTAGCACACCATGAAATGTTTCATACTAATTTTTTTATTTTCCTATTCTGCCCCCTTCTTTCTTACTTTTTTCCTTTTCTCTTTTCTTGTTCCTTTTCCCTTCCTTCTTTCCCTATCTCCTTCTTTCCTATTTCCTACATCCCATCATACCCTCTCTTCCTTCTTTTCCTTCCTTCTACTTCCTTCCTTCCCATTCTTCCGTAACCCATAACCCATCCTTTCTTCCCACCATTTTCCCTCTTATCTTTCTTTGACTTTCTTTTCTTCCTCTCTGCCTTTCCTTCTTTCTTTCCTTCTTTCCTTTCCTGTCCTTACAGAATGGGATTTTCAATGTTGTGGTTTTCTTTGAACCATATTTCCTCTATGTTACCCAGTAAGAAAGCATATACATCATTGCAGTAATTTAAGATTATATATGCTATAGTCCAAATATTAGTATCTGTACTCTGACAGTCTATCTGTACTGGTGAGGCAATATTTTTAAATTAGCATGGGACAATCATAGGAAGTTGGAAAATACAATATTATTAAGTTTTGAGAAAAATTAAAAAATACAAGATACTGAAAAGTAACATGGGTTACTAAAAATATACAAGAATATAAATATACTTGACTCTCATAATCAGGGCTCAGTTGAAGGCAAAGAAAGTGGGACTTAGATAAACCATAGCTGAGTCCAAGGAGACTTACAGGTTCAGGTAGAGTCCTGGATGGTCTAGGCGTTCTAGTGATTGATCTTTGGAAATGAGTACAATGGGCAAATCTGATGTGTGAAGCTATGCCCACAATCTAGGACCATATGGCTCTCCAGCATGATAAATAGAAGCGATCACTTGAGATCTAAATGGTAGTCTATCAACAGAATTACAAATTAACAGAAGCTTTGGCATGAGGGAAGCTTGAAAGTAGATGTCATCTGATAACCAGGGAGTAGAACTATTGAGCTCAAAGATAAGACACTGATTGTCTAAGATAAAACTGCATGGACCAGGCACAGAAAGATGGAGGGATGGACATGATCACAGGAGGATGGGAGTCACTAAGATTATACTGAACCCAAAAGGAAGACTGGGTCTGTGTTTATTCTAAATTTTGCTGCTTAAGTAGGACTTCTCTTTCATTTCCTAGTCTTGTTGGAGATAGTAGGTTCCAGAACAAGTAGTGGGGAAAGTCTACAACTGACATGTGTTATGTTGATACACCAATAAAAGTTAGAAGGCAGAGCTTAGCCGCCGAGAAGACTGTTACTGCTTGTGAACATTGGCTCCTTCCAAGTCATAGCCTTGTCCAATCTCATATATTTGATGCTACTATTGTGCAAAACCTTTTTTAAAACTTCACTTGAAACTAATAATATAAAGTAGAAAAAAATAATAAGATAGCCATAGGTATCATTTCTGAGTGTTTGCTGTGTTCTAAGTACAATGATAAGAGTGTCACTTATCTTACCTATCTTAAGACCAATTTTGTGAGATAGATATTATTCCAATTTACATATGAGGCAAAAAGTTCTAGAGAAGTAATTTACCCTTAACAACACAACGTAATATTAAATTTTAAGTCCTGGAATTTATCGAAGTAAAATATTAAGAATCTGTAAAAGAAAACAAATCCCCATCTGATTTCTTAATAATGAACTTCGGATCATGTTACTGTATCTTTAAAAAGTAAAGTTCCAAAAAAAAAAAAATCCATTAACTACTTTCAAATATAGTAATCCTCCTGTCCAGCTGTGAAAAGTACTAGATGATACTTATTTGCCATTTGTGTTATTTACGGTCCATGACTTTTATGGTAACTGGTTCCTATTATTGGTTTCTATTAATGTAAAACATAAGTGAACATAAATGAGGCGTGAATCATTTCTTTTTATTAGCCCCACAGTCTTCATTCAGTGCTTGCAGTAACTCCAGCTGTGTCTTGTTAGGGATAACCTATTTAAAGAAGAAATCTTAAAGGATAAGGAATAGGATTAGAAATTTTTGGTCACTTTACATCATTTCTCTCCCACACAACAGTAATGGTGAAAAAAGAAAACAAAATGTAACTAATGACACAACAAAATCTCGAACCCCCTCTGATTTGTATTGTGCTTAATATGATTCCAGTTAGACAACCAGTGGATTCTAGTAACTAGTATAAGTAACGACTAATTTAAAGGTAATTGCTGTATATTTGTGTTAAGTGGTTGCTATTGTATCAGAGTTATTAAGTCATGGAAGTTAGAATTTTAAATAAAGAACACTTAAAATAATTAAAAATGTGACCCTTCTGTGTTTGTTGGGCCCCCAATTAAATATAAGATCTGGCATTAACCTAAAAAACCTTATTTTAAAGAAAACAAATACTTGCTATCCTATTCGTATTTATAGGAGGGCTCTTTAACAGCTGTGCTCAGAATCTTTTCTAATATTTTTATTTACTCAAAAAAGGAGAGAATTATTTTTTAATTATATTAGAATAAATGCGTTTTTAAAATTAGAAAGCAAAGCAACCTAGACCTACCAGTTTACCAGTTGTAGTACAAAAGTCTTTTGATCTAAGTGGGGAAAATTCTGCTTATTTCAAAATATTTTTAATATAATCACTTGTAGTTATGTGAACATTTCTTGAAGACATGATATTCTTTTTTTTTTTTTGAGAGGACATCTCTCATATTTATTGATCAAATGGTTGTTAACAACAATAAAATTCTGTATAGGGGACTCAATGCACAGTCATTAATCAACCCAAGCCTATATCTCAACAGTCTCCAATCTTCTGAAGCATAACAAACAAGTTCTTACATGGTGAACAAGGTCTTACATAGTGAATAAGTTCTTACATTGTGAACAGTGCAAGGGCAGTCATATCACAGAAACTTTCGGTTTTGATCACGCATCATGAACTATAAACAATTAAGTCAGATGTGATTATTCGTTTGATTTTTATACATGATTTATATGTGAATCCTACATTTCTCCCTTATTATTATTACTATTATTTTAAATAAAATGCTGAAGTGGTAGGTAGATGCAAGATAAAGGTAGAAAACATAATTTAGTGCTGTAAAAGGTCAAATGTAGATGATCAGGTGTGTGCCTATAGACTAAGTATTAATCCAAGCTAGACAAGGGCAACAAAACATCCACGGATGCAGAAGATTTCTCTCAAAACAGGGGGGTTGAGGTTCTAAGCCTCCCCTCTGTTGGTCCCCAGTTTCTCACCTGATGGCCCCCCTGCGACTGTGCCTGTCTTAGGTTGTTCCTCCCTTGAGGAATCTTACCCGTCTCTGGCTAACCAGTCATCTTCTGAGGCCATACAGGGAAATGTAAAGTTGATGAGAGAGAAGCAATATTCTTTGAAAAGGTTAGCATTTTACTTCTCTGCAGATTTATGCCCTGTGGCTTCGATGTCCAGCATTTGTCTTGAGGTATCTTTACCACTTGGAAGAATTACGATACTTGGTAATTTTCGATATGAGGCACTAATTCTACTAAAGGGTTGTAATCAGGAAGGAAGAAGAAAAGCTATAGACGTAGCAGATGGTAGAAAACATGGAAAGATTGATTATTTCTTTGATATATCTTCTTGTAGAGTAACATGAGTATGTATAGGTTTTAAACTACTAATTAAATTGCGCACATACATTAACATAATAGGAATACAGCCGCATAACAAAAGCAGACCTACAATTACCAGCCATCTCCAGTGAAACCAAGAAAACCAGTTAGGTGCCCTAGGCATTTGTGAAAACTTATCAATGATGTTATGGATATTGGAAGACATGATATTCCTATATATTTTTCTTATTCAGAGAAATTTTTCCTTAAAAATAATTCAGTAAACTCCCTATACTTTGTAGATACTCAGTAGCCTTGGGCATCAGTGACGTGACAAAAGCGCTCCATAATAATCATTTACCCCATCCTTTCTTCTCAGGGACCCTTCCGCAATATCGAGGAAGTACTGGAGCAGCGCTACAAGCCTTTGGAGCCGACGTTGCGGGTGGCAGAGCCGATGAATGAGTTAACGGAGGCCAGAGAGGAGCTCAGAAGACAGGAGCAGGCGAGGATCGTAAATGATAATATGTAAGTTCTCAGTTAAAAAGAAGTAGCTGTACCATGTTTGGTGTCTAAAGTTATATAACATTTTCTATTTCCCGGTACTGTAGAGAATCTTTTATTTGTGAGAAATGGTAAAGCCACCCTTGACTTACTCAGAGACAACCAATTTTTAACATGCCAATGGTAAGTTTAGATAAGGTTAATATTGATGGCAAATTATACACATAAATAGATTACTCAAAGGAAATTTAAAAAATGAATAGCTTTTCAATGGGGTAAGTGACCACTATCCATGCATCTGTGAAGGTAATTACCTTAATTATCTGGTGAAAACAGATATTTACAGTATTTCTACCATGAAATCCAACAGAACAAAAAAGTTTCTTAACATGGACTAAATTTCATTTGGATACATTGACACAACATAGTTTTAATAAATCAGTCTCAGTGAAAGAGGTTAGTTTCTGTATTACTGAAGAAGAATGAAAAATATAAAGGATGATCTAAAAGCAAATACAATTTCAAGTTATTTCATTTTCAGTGATTTGGGTCTCAATTCATACATTTCTCCAAGGAGCTTCCTCTCTTTCCTAAGGTGTTTGTTATCAATATAGTCATATGTACTTTATAAATTGACTATTTAAAATCTAGAAAGGCTTTTCAACAATTATTATCCCATAATGTATCTTGTAATTATCTTTGTACTGTATATTATAATTATTTAGTATTCTATGTATCCTAAATAAGATATTTACTATATTACTTTAATGCAAATTATCATTATATGATCATTTAATATAATATAAATATTATAAATTATATAATAGTCAACAATATATTAATACAATTATTTGTTTTTTATATAATATATATGCACCAATCATCTTATTATACATTAAATAATAACAATTTATATAATAATTCCAAAAGAAAAACTATGTTTTATTATGTAAAGAAACTAGAATTACCTCTTACTCAGCACAGTGGATTTTGGATCATTTCGTCAGAAGAGATATATAATGTGCTTTAACTTAATCATTCATTTCTTAAGAGTCTTTTCAAAAATAAAAAGTTTCACACCATCTCATATGAAAGATAAAGTTGGCAAGCATCTCAAGTAATTTTGAAAAGGGTTTTATATTTTAGTAATTACTTGAAGTGAAATAATTAGCTATAGGGTGTTCAGCAGAATCTTTATATAATTAACTGAGTTACCCAACATCAAATGAATAAGAAAATAAGAAACATTTATTTCCAGTTAGTTTTCAGGAGGTAGATTTGTTTTACCAAAGATTATAGATTAATGCTGCTCAGACTTAGTCAAGCAATATATGCAATTTAGTGACGAGTATCTGAAGAGTTACATTTCTCAGGGTATGTTTCTACTTTCAGTGATGCAAAGGTTTATGAAATAGCAAGAGTAATTGCTCAAATTCTTGACCACATTGCTATTTCTACAGATCACTATGAGTAAAAAATGCTGAGTATCCTTTCTTAATACTTTCCTTGATAAGCCTAGAAAGATCAGATATCAATGTTCTCTCCAAAAAGAGGTGCTCAACTTGTACTTTACATTGAATACTTGTAAATATCTTCAACCTCTGATGACCCTTTACCCTGAAGCTCTCAGATTGAAAAGTGCTTCTAGGATCATCAACCAATCAGGAACAAACCAAATGTGGATACTAAAGAAATTCTGTGATAGAAAACAGAAAACAAGCATCCTTTTACCATAGAGATGCACGATTGATTTTTTAATGCAGAGTGTCCTCTCTGCATGAAGGGCATAACCTCATCTTAACTTATATCTGTAAAACCCAATTTCTAAATAAGGTCACATTCTTTAATATATTCTTTAAAATAAGTCTAGGATGTGAGACACTATTTTATTCATATAGTATGGATTACAGAGGGTTTTCTGGAAGTCATTTTAAAACCATATTTCTTTGTTCTCATTCCTAAAGAAACTCATTCATTTTCTCATGTCTTCTTGAAGAAAATTATTTTCCTTATTTATTCATAGGTCTATCTTTATGAAACAAGAAATTAAAAAAGCAATTAGTAAATGATTGCTGAATAGGCTTTATGTGAGAAGTTCGCAGCTGGGTGTTTTGAAAAATATGAAGGAGTTTTTATTGATTCAACAAATGTTTGCAGGACAGGAATAGTTATAGGCTCTTGGGAAATAGCAGTGAAAAAACATAAGCAAAGTCTCTGTTCTCATGGAACTTTTGTGCTCCTAGCTTTGAACTGAACCGAGAAAGCTTAATGAAATTCTAAGAATTACCATTGTAAGCACTTGAACATCGTCTAATGTGTGTTAAGAACAATAAATGCAATGAGTTTTAAAAATATAAAATTTGCTCTGGTGTCTGATGATCTAGGAAAGGTGTTCTTCATAAAAAAAGGGACTTCACTGGGTTCTGTGAAGGATGGTTAAGATTTTGAGAGAGAAAAGATAAGAACAGGTTGATTGTATGAAGAAAAATAATGGTAGGATATTCAATTAAAATTTTTTCCAGACTCAGTATATCCCCCATTGGCCTTGCTTCTTTTTATCTTGAGTATGAATTACA